CTAGTAAAACCAGGAAAGACGATGTTCGCTTTATTCATTACTAGTTGCACAAAGTCTCTTAGTTCAATTCACATATCTCTTTATTTGCTCTGATATACTTGGAAAATCCCACTTATGTCTAGAAACTTTGAGAAAAACGGATATCTGAAAGAGTTGGATAAAATTTGCTGATGAGCTAGTCACGTAATATCTCCTCCATTAATTAAGAAAGACTCGATGTACCTAAGAGAATGTCAGTTGAATGTAGGAAAAATAAGAATAACTGTTCTACAGTGCATACAAATCAGGTTTCTATGGCAGGCGGGAATGTGGCTAACCTCATTGCACTCAGCACCATTTTTCAAAGGTCCAGTAGCAGAGAGGTAACGAACACCAATATCTAAAATTTAAGAAAAAATCCTGGATAACTCAACATTTTTCAAAGCCGAGGCTGATCGCAGAATCTTTGTTACATCTGTTGAGCTTTATGTGCATAGTGGGGATAAACATGCAATATTCTGTAGCATTCTAAAGACATCACGTGGCCACAATTGACTTAATTCAACAAAGTGACAGTATTTTAGGGAAGTAGCTCATTGAGTGCATGTTTTGTCTATAAGAACATAGGAAACGTATTTGCGTAGCCTGGAGTGATGTGGTCCTTAATTTTTGTAGCAAGCTGTCATGTGAAAAGAACATGTGCTTCCTATTCGACAGTTTAAACCTGAGTGGTCTAATCCCAACCTATATATATATACATATATATATTTTCGAAATTCCATCGTAAGCTTATCCTTAGAAATCGTATTTCGTTCAGTAAAACAGTACCCTAATATATGAAGTGCCCACGATTGTTCCAAACTAAAACAGAAAAATACGAGTTTCTAACGGAATTGGTAGTAAGATTTAGCAAACATGGCCACTGTTACGAAACTTCAATGTGCCAATCGGTCGCTTTTGCTTTTACACGTGTTGATGCACAAAGCAAATGTTCAATTTATTCTGTCAAGTGTGAAACTGATTGGCGGCAAACAAAGAACTGCAGGTAATAGTAAACGTTTTTTGCAAGTTTCTTCGTGGAAAACCATTGAACCATTTGAGCTAATTTGTAAAAAAACTGAAAGTGCCTGGCACAACGAGAACTTTAAACTGCGCAACTCACCCATGGTTGAAGTAACCACATGGTACCGTAAGTCCACTGCATTAAAAATGGTAAGTAAAAGAAATTTAACCGGGAATGAGACAGATCTACTGCACCGTGAAATACAAATCTTACCTTACTGTTGCATTATTCTTGTAGTTCGCAGTTTAAATAGCCCTGTGTTTCAATCATTCCCGTGTCTCAATGGTTAAGTTTCGATCTTACTGACCAGAAGTTTCGCAGTCTGAATTCAGTATGAAGACACGAGTGCTACAGTCTGGACTCTCTCAACCTTAGCTCTCTTGCATTCTTTGGATTACATGATAACTATGCACCGAAACGGGTTTACAACTGAACGGCTATCATTTTTTATTACTTTCAAGGCTAAAAGTTTCCTTTGATTCATTCTTCTCATAATGCTAGTTTTTTTAATCAGTCAGTATGCGTTTATAATCTCCGATAGAAAAGCAAAGATTTTTTGAAGGAAATTTCACAAGTTTGCTGAAAACTCTCCGACAGCCTACAACCGGTTTCGCCCTTCTTGAAGCTCATCAGGTAATCACAGAACTTTTTCTGTTTTATCACCTTCCGGTACTAAGCAGTTTCTGAGGACGAGCAAATACCTATCATTTGGGCTATAAAACCATGCGTTTTCTTGAATATTTCCGTATTCAAAGTTGTTATACTAACGTTTTCAAAATATGAGGTGAGGACTCTTTTAAAGGTGCGCTTCGTCAGTAATGAACAACTCAATTTGTATTTTCAGTACATACTCCGGTGATGAAACATCCCACTGCGCACAGCCTCGTATCAAACTTCAATGGTTTCTGGTAATTTTCAACTCCATAAATAAATTAAAATTATGATTATGAGCAGTGTTAAAAGCATTGCTTGCAGCTTCCTTATGCTTATCGTTTCAAAGTACAAACGATTTTAAATCTGTTCAAGCACTCTCGGATTTCTGACAGTTATGCGGTCCTGTGGCCAATGGTTTAATTGAAATAAGCTCTGTGTATCACTGAACTATCATCTAGGGAATGCGAGGTTATGACACGGCTCGAATACATTCTTAATACTTTAGAAGTGTTCTGGAGAAAATATTACAGGACATTGTGTACACATATATATGTATGTGGGAAACCATCGTTAAAAATGAGCGCATCGTGGGGAATATTCATTCTGAATCACTTACCACCGCTTGTAATTCGGAACAAGATAGCCGCCAGCAAACATAGCGAAAAGATGTTCTTAGACGCTAGCATACTATATCGGGGAGCAATGTTAATGTACAGTGATTTCAAATATATCAACGTAGCTCCCACCAATCAAACAGGCAGTGTACTCCTATTGGTATCTCAGCTGTTATGTGCACCAATCGGCCCAGAGTTAGTCATGTCAACATGATAGGTCATCCATGCTCTGCAGCATTTTCAGCATGAAGCCATGGTTTAGTGTCCCAAAATGTTTCACGGGACACGCAGGATGCTTTGCGGCGTTTGTGTTACTTCTCAGTGCGACTGAAATCAGCTGTGTATCCGATATGTCGTCGTTTGCTTCGTGATTTTTAGGCTGTTAGGACTCGGTAACAGCACTTTTAAAGTAAATTACATTAATGATGAACAACTCATACTATGAGTGAACATCGCCATTTTAGAATCCACTTAACACTGTCATCATTGTTTGTTCTCAAGTATGCTTCCATCGTAGTAGATCAAACTAGAAGTGTCAAATAACCTCATGATTTTGAGTCCGCTTCTACAAAATTCAGAATACTGGCTGCTCTGGTGCTTAGATTCGAAACGCTGAGGACACTACACAACCTGGCTTTCAATGTTGTCCTTTATGTGTGACCTCACAGTGAATTCATTGTTTTCCTCTTTTATTCACTTTATTGCCTACAGTGAACTTTCACATCACTACCCGTTCCACAAGTAATGTTTTCAGATTAAGTGACATTCAAAATGGTAGTTACTGGACAGATGTTGCAAGTGATTTCAGTAAGCACGCCATGAATAAAATAGAATGTTCGGATAAGGAATGTCTGTCAATGATTCCCAGTCATATCTATCAAAACTGCAAAATTGCGTGACGCTTGTTCCGCGAAAACGGTTGCTTTGAGAATAGAGACGCAGAAGACACAACCAGATTGCTAGAATTTTACTTTCTGATTCTATTCTGGATTCAAAACCGTTCTGTAAACCTCATGAACTAACAGCTATATGAAGTTTATCGGTTGCCTTTTGAGGTAATATCTGTCATGGGTTTGAGTCGGAATATTTCAAAATTTACTGAACCAAGTTGGATCTTGTTGTTTATGTCGCTTATGCATAAAAACAACCAATAAAATTTATCTGTGTCAGGCGGCCGGCCTGCCATGAAAAACAACCAAAGTAACATTTGTGATGGGTCGCGTTCATATTTAGGCAGCTATTTTTTGTAAACTCTGAAATACTGAGATTGGGAACATCGTCATTGTCGGCAGGAATAACAGCGTACTTGCTGTACAGTGGTTTCAGCCGCCACAGTTTCGCTCACCGTTGATTCGGGGAGGTGGGGTGGGCAGCTGCGTGTTGGAGGCGAGAGCTGAGAAATTTGTGTGTAAATACAGCAATGCAGATGGACTGTTATGTGTGAAATCGAGAAGAGAGTTATGCATTGAAGACAAAAGCTTGGATGCATGAGCGCCATTGAGGGCGCGAATGGGCCATGTCTGACAATGTCNGTAGATCAAACTAGAAGTGTCAAATAACCTCATGATTTTGAGTCCGCTTTTACAAAATTCAGAATACTGGCTGCTCTGGTGCTTAGATTCGAAACGCTGAGGACACTACACAACCTGGCTTTCAATGTTGTCCTTTATGTGTGACCTCACAGTGAATTCATTGTTTTCCTCTTTTATTCACTTTATTGCCTACAGTGAACTTTCACATCACTACCCGTTCCACAAGTAATGTTTTCAGATTAAGTGACATTCAAAATGGTAGTTACTGGACAGATGTTGCAAGTGATTTCAGTAAGCACGCCATGAATAAAATAGAATGTTCGGATAAGGAATGTCTGTCAATGATTCCCAGTCATATCTATCAAAACTGCAAAATTGCGTGACGCTTGTTCCGCGAAAACGGTTGCTTTGAGAATAGAGACGCAGAAGACACAACCAGATTGCTAGCATTTTACTTTCTGATTCTATTCTGGATTCAAAACCGTTCTGTAAACCTCATGAACTAACAGTTATATGAAGTTTATCGGTTGCCTTTTGAGGTAATATCTGTCATGGGTTTGAGTCGGAATATTTCAAAATTTACTGAACCAAGTTGGATCTTGTTGTTTATGTCGCTTATGCATAAAAACAACCAATAAAATTTATCTGTGTCAGGCGGCCGGCCTGCCATGAAAAACAACCAAAGTAACATTTGTGATGGGTCGCGTTCATATTTAGGCAGCTATTTTTTGTAAACTCTGAAATACTGAGATTGGGAACATCGTCATTGTCGGCAGGAATAACAGCGTACTTGCTGTACAGTGGTTTCAGCCGCCACAGTTTCGCTCACCGTTGATTCGGGGAGGTGGGGTGGGCAGCTGCGTGTTGGAGGCGAGAGCTGAGAAATTTGTGTGTAAATACAGCAATGCAGATGGACTGTTATGTGTGAAATCGAGAAGAGAGTTATGCATTGAAGACAAAAGCTTGGATGCATGAGCGCCATTGAGGGCGCGAATGGGCCATGTCTGACAATGTCTCTAACCTTTAATGTGGACTGTCTCGAGGTCCCCATCCAGGAAGACGGCAATGACCAGCGCAGCTGAGTTTGCTGGTAATGGCCTTCACACTTCGCCACCAAGTCATTGTTTGACCGCCTCTGGCTCTCTTCCACCCTTCACGTAGTTGTGCAAAAAGAGCCTTTCGGTGAAGTCAATCGACTGGCGTACGCAGCACTTGGCCAAGCCAGCGCAACCTGTGCAGTGGTCAGTTAATCTGTCGAGGGTGAGTTATTTCTCCCAAGTACCACTCGCGAACTTCAGCACTGCTGATCCGGTGTTCCCACCAGGTTTGGGCAGTGCCCCGAAGACATCGATGATCAAACACTGAAAGTCTTTTGACGTCCGCGGAGCGCAGCGGCCAGGTTTCTGGTCCGTATAGTAATATGGATCGCATCGCGGCATGGTAAATTCGACCCTTGATGGAAAAGCTGATATCACGCCTACGCCACAAATGACGCAGGTTCACAAAAGCTATTTCTGGCCTTCTCAATCCGGATGAAAATATTACCTTTCGGGAGACCCGTAGGACTGATACAGCTGCCCAGGTAAACAAATGTTCTACTACCTCATCCGCAAGCATAGGGCAGGTGTTCGTGCCCACCCAGCCTCGCAGTAGCACTTTACACTGAGAATGAAAATAGCTAGTCGATGGGTAATATGTTGGAATCATTTTCTTGTTAAAATTGCCATGTTTTGAGATACTCGAAAAAGAGCTTTCTCCCTGCAATTCAAGCCATAAAACAGGAAGCATTACACATTTGTTTTGACCTCAGTGAACCTAACTACCATTGCGCATCTTAGCATTTTCCGTGTCAGTTCAAACCAACAACCTTCTGGCTGGTGGGTAAAGAATAAACCGTTTGGCCAGTCACAATTTATCTGTAGTATGATTGGCTCGCACCCAGAAGGAGAAGGCGCTTATCACTCCTCAACCACGTGATTCACATTCCTTGATCTAGTGTTAACCGAGCAATTACTTACATAGAATTTTAAATTGTCGTGAGAAATATTCTTCACTATGAGCCAATCGTGTCTTGTGTATATTTGTATTCGCAAGTTCTGGTCTCCTTTCCGATCCGCGACTTGTAAACTAATAATGATTCCTGATTGGTAGAAGCAAGTGTACAGTTCTTTTTGGCTTCTTGCCATAGATCGACCCAACTTGAGGAACGAAATCTTCACCATACTTTCTGTGTCAGACTGCAAGGTTATGTTCCTGTCTGAGTATCCTTCAAACAATCTTTCAAAACTCCTCTAAAATCTCTCCAGGTAATTACTCATTTCCGAAAGCAAACGACATGCGCAGATATTGAGTAACACGTTTTCCCTTCAGGTCTAAGTGTAGATGAATTTTCATGAAGCGTCATAATATTTGGACGCAACAGATAAACTGGGCAGAGTAAATCAACTGCATTTGATCGGCAACTAGTTGGACCACTTAAGTAACGGACATTTTGTCACATTACTGACTGGTAGTTTTTTGCACACCTCTGAGCCAAAAGTTATCAGGAGGACTATACCCGTGAGTGCCAAACATTTTATTGACCTGTTAAATTCCCCACGTTAGCACTATACAGCGCAGTGTATGAATGATATCCATCAATTTTATCAGTGACCCGGTTATCATAGCCCAAGCGCTAACGGAATGCTATGACCAAATTTGCCCGTCACTCAGGGAATATGTAGACTAAAATTGAGTGGCCTTGCATTAATTCACGTATTATTGGCCGCCGATACCGATTAACTTTCACATATACCCGCACATATCGTACGGGCAAAATCACATCAGTCTCATTGATTGACATACTTGAGAGTGTTATCATTCATTCACAAGTTTCGCAAAATAACCTCAGAAAGTAGTGATTTTGCATTGAATCCATCTAATAAGGTTTACGTAACCCCAAGACAAGACGAAAAAACCCAGTTGACGGATATTTATTATTCTGTGTTAGCGTCGAGCATACTTGAAACTTTAAGTGATCTTCAGGTCCGGATGATCAATAAGCAACCATAAACACTCCTTTCTCCTAATCAGAACAGTAAGCTTTAAGTAAAGTTCATCTATATCGCTTGTGTTCCAAGGATTTTGTTCCTAATGCCAATTTTCAGTGCAACCGTCCATTTCATGCGCGTGCTATTTGTAGCTGCTTTTCTGTACTGACGTGCCGCCTAATAGACTGCCTGGGAAACGTAGGCACTTTTTTCGCATATAGTCGAATCAACTACTTTGTTTGAACAACCTTGCTCGATACAGCACCATCGTACGAGTCGGATGATGGTTCGAGTCGAAATACCATCTCTACTTCAAAGGCATTCAGTGTGCCGGAACCGTTTCAATGATTTACACTGGTGAGAAATATGGAATGCATTATTTGTCGCGCAATCGATGCACACTTCCGTGCACAGGTTAAGGACGATATAGGGAGATCAACTGATGCCACAGTTAGTTTGTCATTCCTGATTACAACAATATTTGCTATAAACAAATCCTACTCATATTGGC